GAAGCATTTCTCGGAAGGAGTCAGAGAGAGCTGCTATCTTCATATCCACTCTTGCTCACAGTCACCTTTTAGCCTTTGCATCAGAGCCAGAGCACAACCTCCCATTTAATAGCAATTTTCAAAGAGGCTTCAAGTGAGACTTGGTCAGGGGAAATACATGGACACACGGATCCTGAGACACCTAGCTTGTTCATTCCGGACTAAGATCTTTCCCTATTTTAGTGCTCCAAAAGTGAAGAATTATAAAATGTGAGTATATGTTATAAATTCACAGACAAGCAAAGAACTGTTTGCTTAGGAAGCCAATGGATTAAATGAACTTAAAAAAAAAAAAAGACTGTAATGTAGAATTAAAAGGGTTAGATTCTTCTTTGAATATATGCAGTAATTTGTAAGATTTTTCTATAATATTTGAAATATATCCATGTCCATTCAGTGGCTGCAAAATACAGATAACCTTTTGAAGGTGTTGAAAGCTGGAGGAGAAATAATTCTGATTCACATCTTATGGTGAATTTACTTATAAAAACATAATGTAAAAATCACCACAAATTATTTTCCTTCAGTATTTGCATTTTTTTTAATTTTGTAATTTAATGATTAGAAAAAAAGAATGCTTAAAAGTATATAACACTTAGGAAAAAGAACAGGCAGATTCCCAAAAATTAGTTGAAAATAACAGAAAATCATTTGATATTCTCCTAAAATTTAGCAAATCCCTAAGAGGTAGCCCTGAATTCATCCCATGCTTTGAAAAGAACTGATGTTCCTCCCATATAAATACTTCTGCAGGAGACAATCATCCTACTGAAACAGAGAGATGTGGGAGTGTTACAGGCACTCTCAGGTTCAGCTTATGGTCACTCACTCACACACATACAGCTTGTTGAGGCACATGGATCTTGTAAGCCCCCTTGCTTTCTACCTGGGTTTTCCAGAGAGGTGTTGCTAGAGCTGGGAAATAATTAGGGACACACAAAAATAATGTCCAACTGAATACTGAGGCACACTGTTGATTGTCCCAGTCTTGCCAGAGCAGCGAAAAGGCTGCTCTTTCTACTTCACTTTCCCTTCACTTTCCCCTTCTGATTCATGCCTTTCTTGCTGATTTCTTTGTAACTGCTCAACCCACTCTTTCAAGCTCCAAGTAGAAGCCCCATCCCACGTCTCCATGTTTTCTCCTAAATCTCTCAGCTTTCGCCATATTTGCACACATGTCTCCATTCCCCACTCTCTGTTCTTGGTTTCTCTACAAATTCCTATTCCTGTTCTTTCCTCTCCCTCTTCTTTCCCCACCTACACCTCTCCCACATCCTTTCCTTTCCTTTCCTTTCCTTTCCTTTCCTTTCCTTTCCTTTCCTTTCCTTTCCTTTCCTTTCTTCCCCAACACTTCCAACAGCTTTCCTTGTTTCCCGCAGATCTTTCCAATGTGGCTAAATCTAATGGATAACTCACCCAATCCAAGATTGCTCAGGGTGCTGCAGCCCACCCAGCAACCCTTTTAATTTGCAGAGCTTCCCAAATTCTATCTTAATGTCCTTCCCCGAATACACTGACTTCATTTTCTCCTGCAAGTCACCAAGAGGCAATCCCAACTTCTTAACAAGTTTTGCCAACCATTCACAAAATACCAAACCCATTTCCCCTTCCTCAGGATTCTCCAATGGACCTAACACCTGAGAAAGGCACCCCCATATTTCCACAAAGCCATGATTGCTCACCCAAATAATAAATTCAAAGGGTCCAATCCATGTATCCCACTTTGACACCAATAAAAATGTTACAGGCACTCCCAGGTTTGGCTTATGGTCACTCACTCCCACATTCACAGCCCCTGTTGAGGCATGTGGATCTGTTTTCTACCTGGGTTTTCCAGATAGGTGCAGCTGGAAAAAACGAGATACACAGCCCTGGTCAACAACTGGGAAATGATTAGGGACACACCCAAATCCCTTCCAACCGAACACTGAGGCACATCAAGGTCTTTGGAATAGACAGAGACCCTCTGAATTTAAGGTAACTGCAAAACTTTACTGGTTACAATGTACATATGCTCTTTCTTACATGTACACACACACACACACACTCATCCATGCTTACCCACATCCTTTTCAACTAGGCTGCCAGGCACTAGCTAAAGGGATGGAAGCCACCAGGTCTGGATCCAAAGATGATTCAAGGAGTGGGCGGGCTTCAGGACCCCTTTTGATCCCCAACAGATCTTGCTTTGTTGATTAGCAGGGATTGGGCTATTTTCCAATGTAGTCAGGCCCAATTTCCTTTGTCTGGTTCAGGTGATATTTTTCCTTTCTTTCCTTAACAACCTGTTTCCTTCTTATTTACCTCCTTGGTAGATAAGAAGGAAACAAGATTTTAGACAAGATTCCTGCCAGCTTCATCTTTAGTTACAGCAGGTTCAGCCTAGTCTCACCGGAGTCATTTATGGGACACCAGTAGTTTGAAGGAATTGAGTCATAATGAAATTCTGTTTATACTAGAATGTTCAGCAGAGTTACTCAGCTAAATATTAAGTGAAACAATTTCTTCTTCTATCAACCCTCCGACCCTAGTTCTATAATAACTATGAAAAACAATGAAACGAGAATCAGTGAGTTCATACTTCTTGGCTTCACCGATGTTCGGAAACTGCAGCTCCTGTTCTTCTCCATCCTTTCCTTTTCCTATTTTTTGACAATTACAGAAAACTTGGTAATTATCATCCTGGCTAATATAGACCACCGGCTACGCACCCCAATGTATTTCTTCCTCTGGAATTTTTCTGTTTTGGAAATTGGATTTACCACTGCTGTCACTCCTCAAACCTTATCACATCTTTTGATGGGCAATAAAAATATACCCTATGTTGGTTGCATGATGCAAACTTTCATATACTTTCATCTGGGCACTACAGAGTTGTTCCTCTTAGCTGTCATGTCCTATGATCGATACCTAGCCATCTGTAATCCCTTACGCTACCCATCCATCATGAGCAAGAGTTTATGCACCTCCCTTGTTTACTGTTGTTGGATTGGAAGCTTTCTGCTCATCATTGGTCCATTTGTGGTCTTCCTACAGTTTCCAATGTGCAACTCAAACATCCTGGATCATTTCTTTTGCAACAACACACCATTGATCCAACTCCTGTGTGGGGACACCAGACTTCTTGAACTTTTGGGGTTCATCACTGCTGCTCTTTCAGTGTTGGGGACTTTCATCATTTCAGTGGTTTCCTATGTCAACATCATCAGGTCTGTCTTGAGCATCCCATCTGCTACAGGGAGAAAGAAAGCATTTTCTACTTGTTCTTCCCACTTCATTGTTGTCTCCCTCACCTACGGGAGCTGCATCTTCCTTTATATCAGTCCAGATCAGGACAGCAAAGTTGAGTTTGCCAAAATAGTGGCCATTCTGAACACCATTGTTTCCCCTTTGCTCAATCCTTTCATTTACAGCTTGAGAAATAAGCAAGTTCAGGAAGCCTTGGAAAATCTATTGAGACAGTTCAAAGCCATCGCTAAAGGTTAGGGAAAACCTGATAATGCATCCAAATTCTAGTTAGAGCAGCATTTTCAAAGCAGAGGCACATTTATTCAGCTAAGTATTGATATTAAGAGAAATCATTTTCTTCTATCAATTTCCGGATCCCAGTTTTATAGTACTAATGAAAAGAAATAAAGTGACAGCTATCAAGTGGCAAGTGACAGCAACTTCAGGAAGAAGGAGTATGAGAAGCTGGAGAATTACCAGGCCTGAAGGAGGAACTAAAGAGGATATTGAAAGCAAAGGCCAAAGTGGTCCCAGTGGTGGTAGGAGCACTTGGGGCTGTGGCTCCAAAGCTGGGAGAGAGGCTCCAACAGATCCCAAGAACAACATCGGAGCTCTCTGCCAGAAGAGTGCAGGGCTAGAAAGAGTTCAGATACCATGCAGAACCCTCAAACTCCCAGGCCTCTGGGAGAGGACCCCAGATTAAGGAAGACAGACCCCCCCTAGGAGTGAGAGGGGATTTTTTTTCTTGCCCAAAAGGATGGACTAGAAAAAATTATTCCCACATACAGTATATACCTATGAAATCATTTGCACTGAATTGACACATCCATCATACTGAAGGAGCAAAACAACTTTCAGGATATGCTTTTGGAGGGCAAGATGACCAAAAGATCAGTAATGAAAAGAATATTGGCCCAATGTTTAGTCAAAATAGTTCTAGATTGAAGTGAAGGACTTGTTTATATAAGAAAGACCTATTCACTATTGTCTGAAATCAGGAGGGGCTATTTTCCCTTTTAGAATGTTTTAAATGAAGGAAGAAGGAGTTACACTCCCGTAAGAGCTTAGGGATTTACTGGAGATCTTTGATGGTATGAGTTTTCAAAAGTTCCCATTTGGATTCTCCACCCTTTAGGTGATTTTGATGATAGAAAGATAACCCAAGGGACCTGCAATTTTTCCACCTACCAACCACAAATAGGGTTGAACCACTTGAGGGCATCAACGTAGCAATTCTCTGTGACTGCTTAAAATAAATTCATCTTCCTGAAGCTTCTCTTGGTTGCATTCTGCAGCTCCCGCGTAACACTAGGGCAAGAAGCTTTTTTTTTCAGGAGTCAGAGAGAAATCCAACCTTCGAGACCCCCATGCTTGCAACAACCTTTCCGCCTTTGCTTCTCAGCCACAGCACAGTACTACAATTTAAAGATGCTTCAACTGAGATTTGGATGGGGGAAACACTTGAACATATGGATCTCCTGCCAAAGATATTTCCTTATTTTATTGCTTCAAGTCTGAATAAATAGATAATGTAAGTACAGAGTATAAATTCCTAGAAGGCAAAGATTTGTTTTAATGGGCCAATGAATTAAATTAACTAAAACAAATCAATGTAATACAGACTTTCTCCCTTCTAATGGTTATTCGAATATATACAGGGTTTTTAAAGATGTTTCTAACATTTTCCAACATTTCCATATTCATTTAGAAGTACCAGTTGATTACCCCCTTTTTAATCTAAGTTCCAGGGCACTCCGATGATTTTTATTTGCATTATTTGTTAGACAATCCGGTTAAATCTATCTCTCTAAAAGTAATACAGAAATGTGGGTGTCATTTTCAGGACATCAGAAGTTTGAATGACAACAGAATTCTGGTTACAGCAGCATTTTCAAAGCTGATGTAGAGTTATTCAATAGCAATTTTGGAAAAGTGCAGACAGCAAATGATATCCAGTTGAAAATCAAATTCCTATCATTCTGTGTAAAGGACTGATCTCCCTCCCACATAAATACGTCTACAGGGAACAATCATCTTTCTGAAATACAGAGATGTGGGGGTCATTTTCAGGAGACCAGTAGTTTGAATGATAACAGATTTCTGGTTACAGCAGCATTTTCAAAGCTGATCTAGACCTATTCAGCTGACTGAATTTTCTTCTCCTGTCAACTTCCCAATTCCACTTCCATAGTCGCCATGAAAAACAATGAATCAAGAATCACTGATTTCATACTTCTTGGCTTCACAGACATTCGTAAACTGCAGCTTCTACTCTTTTCCATCCTTTTCTTTTCCTACTTATTGACAATTATGGGAAATGCTGTGATTATTATCCTGACTAACCTAGACCATCGGCTACACACCCCAATGTATTTCTTCCTCTGGAATTTCTCCATCTTGGAAGTTGGATTTACCACTGTTGTCATGCCCCAAACCTTGTCACATTTACTGATGGGCAATAAAAATATTTCCTATGTTGGTTGCATGATACAATCTTTCTTGTACTTCTCTCTGGGCACTACAGAGTTGTTCCTCTTAGCTGTCATGTCCTATGATCGATACTTAGCCATCTGTAACCCCTTACGCTACCCAACCATTATGAGCAAGAGTTTGTGCATCTTCCTTGTTCTTGGTTGTTGGGTTGGAAGTTTTCTCATCATCATTGGTCCGTTTTTGCTGTTACTACAGTTTCCAATGTGTGACTCAAACATCCTGGACCACTTTTTCTGTGATAACACACCATTGATGCACCTCCTGTGTGGGGACATCAGACGTCTTGAGCTTTTGGGGTTCATCAATGCTTCTCTTTCATTACTGGGGACTTTGGCTACTTCAGTGGTTTCCTATATCAACATCATTAAAACTATCTTGAGAATCCCATCTGCTACAGGAAGAAAGAAAGCATTTTCCACTTGTACCTCTCACTTCATTGTTGTCTCCATGAGCTACGGGAGCTGCATCTTCCTTTATATCAGTCCAGCCCAGGACAGCAAAGTCGAGTTTGGCAAAATAGTGGCCATCCTGAATACGATTGTTTCCCCTCTGCTCAATCCTTTCATTTACAGCTTGAGAAACAAACAAGTTCAGGAAGCCTTGAAAGATCTATTGAGACAGTTCAAAGCCACTGCTACATGTCCAGGGAAAACCTGAAAACTCCATCCCATCTGGACTTGGTGCATCTGACCTTTTGTTTGGAGGGCTGCCAAATAACCTGTTATTTGGTAGTTTTGGGTAGTATTTGATGTTGACAAAGCACTGTGGTTGAACCCATTAATTTCAGTGAATATCCTTGGAAGATCTCCAGTATAGAGTGGTCTGCAAGACAGGGTTTTACTTTGAAGTTACAGATAGGCATTGTGTGGTTTCTTTATCTGTTTCTTTTCCCTAAATCTAAAGAGTAGAGAGAGATTTTTAAAAGGTGGGGGTTGTGGGGAAAAGGCGAACACTTCCTTGGAAGGCCTGAATGTTTTAATGGCCATGACCATGTTAGTGGTGAAAAGAGATGGAATGGAATGGAATTGAATCAGCTAATGGCTGATTAGCTGGCTGGACATGCAACAGAATCCCCCAGTATCCATGCTGAAGAAATCAAATGTTACCAAGATACGTAGAGATGAGATCTCACCCAAGAATTCATCAGTGGAAATTCTCTATTTAACAAATCATATGTTCTCCTCTATGTTGGAATTCAAAAACCTACAAATGCAAAAACATCTATGTAGTAAATATCTATGTAGTAAAACCTCAATATAATAACTCAAGAGGGGAGGAGGAGACCTGTCCATTGCATCTGGGTGTCCATTAAAGTTCAACTATGTAATTTCACAAGTGATGTAAATTAATGCAAACAGCATAAACCCTATCAATTTTCATGCCTTGTTTGTATTTCTGTATGTACATGCAGAAACACACACACACACATATAGATATGCACACATAATAAAATTTAATTTATGTACCCATGTTAAGCAGATTTGGGATGGAACAA